CAATCTCGTTGTGTAAAGAGCCTGGGTGCTGAAGCAAAAGAGTTTCTACTGTCGAGAGGAATTCCAAGTCATGCAGCCCACATCTGGTTCCATGAGCTGGATTATGCACACTTTCAAGTCACTTTCAATGTCAGTCTGATGGGATGTTGGGCATTAACTGTGCTCACAGCAACTTGATCAATGAAACGTTTTGTTTAACTTTCCTACATTTGTGAATTCTCTTTCCCTTTGTGTTTATAAAGAGAAGACTCACTGTTCATTATGCACATGTGCTAAGTTTTCAGCCTGAAAAAAATTCAATTAGGAAAATACTGAAATAAACTTTTAAGAAAAACTGATGCAAGAGAAAGAAAGCAGACTTCAGAATTTCATGCTCATCTTGCTAGGGAAAGTATTGTAGGAGGTAAAAATTTCCTGTATATTTATGCATACTTCCATATTCTTTAATTTTCATGATTAAATACAACCAGAAAAAAATGCAAGAAACTTAGAGGTTACTAAAACTGTTCATATATATAGGATTCTAAAGCTGATTAGGGTGAATGTAGATGGACAGTTGCTAAATGGTAAATTTTCAACAATCCAGAAGAAGAAATGAGTATTACCATATACAAATATTACCACAGATATAATTTGAAACTCATGTTGATATCTAGTGATGCACATCATCGTTCACTTAGATATCAGTGCTGCATATTTGCGGTGTCATTCTTACAACTCTGTCTATCAGTAGCTATTTCTTAAAGTCAATGCCAATGTTGTCTGAGAGTGAAATATTGAAAACATCTTTCATATTACATCGGAAGCCATGCATAAATCAGGATTAAAATGATTATGATACAGAAAGATCCATTTGCTTCCTCAAAATGATACCAGATATCTTAAGGTGTAATAATTAGTGTGCAATTGAGTATATAGAATATAAAATATTCATATTCATTTTAACCATGGAATAAGAATCACACGAGTAAAGGAGTATTATCAAAGGCCTTTTTTTTTATAACACAAAGAGTAATCCTCACTGTGATTCAATTTACACCAATATGAAGACTATTAAATATACTTGAAAGGAAGATCTTTAGGCAGAAGATAAAAATGGCTTTTGTACTCGAACACAAACCTCTCCTTCTCTGACCACTTCAAAGATGCTCTCTTCCATTTTATCTCCAGGAGTCTCAAAAAATAACTTTTACTTTCCTAGTCTACATTTAGTTCTCTCATTCACTATTCAATCGCCAGCAACCTGGCTTCTGCTCTCAACGTTCAGCTAAAAGTGTTCTCATGATGAAGGTCATCAAAAAATTCTTATCCGAAAGCTGTTTGTCCTAGTATATCATTTGATGTTATTAAACCCTATTCCATATCTTTTTTCCTCATTTTTAATTTTACTGTTTTTTATGAGCACACTTATATTTTTGCAAATTTTACAATTTGAGATGTTATTGAATTTCTTATAATAATTACCTTTCTCATATCATAACTTTCCTACTTTCTGCATATAAATGACCCTGTACATGTTGTTTTTCAAGCTTGTTACTTCAAGAAATTGGGCCATATTTGAAGTTTAGATGTGCTCGATGAAGATCAAGACAAAAATTGAGTGTGGTCATTATGAGTTTACTGCTGTCAAAATTATACTGAGTTGTACTATTTGTATATCCAAGCGAGCACATTCCAAAGAAGACTCAGCTGTACTCCCTTTTTCCGAATATTTACTGCTAATTTCTATCTACTTTCCAATCTTTGAAAGCTCAATTATATTTCATCTACTTTTACTAAATATTCTGTTCCCAAGGTTATTCATGTCATTGTCATTGAACTGGCCTAAGTTAACTCTTCTGTGTTATTATACATAACAACAGAACTCAAATCCGATAGACTGCCCATGTATGCATCGTGAAATGTGTGTGCCTCTCAACATATATCATCAATTAATAAGTAAATACATGTTTTAGAAATCTTTCATCTTCTTAAACAATATTATTCTATTGAGTATATTTTTAAAGTTTTTTTTTCACCATATGTTCTAGACTCAGTATCTTTCTACAGATATCTTTACTGTTATGGGATGTCTTTCTGTATGCTGTGACTATGTATGGCTCCCACTGGATAATAAATAAAGCTGTTTGATCTATGGCAAGAAAGATTACAGTCAAGCAGGAAATCCAAGCAGAAATACAGAGGGAAGAATGGTGGAGTTGAGAGAGATGTGAGCCCGCTGCTGAAGGAGCAACAAGATGTCAGCAGACCAGTAACACCACGGCCATGTAGCAACATATAGATTAATAGAAATTGGTTAATTTAAAATGAAAGAGTTAGCTATCAAGAAGCTTGAGCCACAGCCCATACAGTTTGTAATTAATATAAGCCTCTGAGTGATTATTTTATAAGCGGCTTGGGGACAGTGGGGCTGAGTGAGACTGAGAAACTTCTGGTTCCATTTTATGGTTATTTAGCTTTTTCTATATTTTTTAATTTAGTAGATTTCTTACAATCAGACTTTTCACTTGTGTATCTGTGTCCCGTCCATAAGCCCCTATGTATATCTCTAATGAATTCACATGAATTTGCTTATTTCTAGCTTTTGAAAATCTAAAGTTAGCAAAACGAATTACCTTTTATCTAATAAGACATTACAATAATGCATTGTTGGGAATCGTGATGCATAAATAGCATTGTCGTTATAGTTCTGCACCAAAGAATTGATTTTTCTCCCTGGCTGGAAATATCAAACACAATCACACATAAGCTCTTTCTCTCCTCTTTTATCCAGCACATAGAAAGCCTACTTTCATATTTGACAGGAATGTGAAAAACAAATTCTTCCCTTTAAGCAAAATGTCAATCTTTCTATCTTTAACATCTCACTCATATCATCCCCATTTTCAAAGAGTACAATCGGAAAGTGAGGTTTTTTTTACCTATATTCTCCTGTTAAGTAGCTCCGAGTAACTTTCCTTTGGACCACTCAGAAATCTTTACCCACCTAAATGTTAAATTGTATCGTTGCATTACTGTATCACTCGATATTATGACACAAACATTTTTTAGTACAACGGACAATTGTGCCTTCTGTGATATTAATAACCTAACATGCTAAAGCTTAGAAATGTCAAATCTACTTTTAATCTTTTAGTTAAGTGATTTAAAGTCATTGTTTTCTGAGACTCATTGCATAGTGTAGCACAACGAAGAAGAAAGGAAGAATTCCTTCAGCCCCTCACAAATTGTGTCCATTTTCGGATAGGTTCATGATATCCATTGAGGATCTGAATCCTAAAGCTTTGTTTGAGTTGCATGTTCTCCCCCCACCTTTACAGGCTCGAAAAGATCTCTGAGACTCAGAAACGTGTTGCAAGATGAAGTGAGCACACCTGGTTTCCTGCATGTCTTCTACACATCTGGCAACAGGATTAAAATGGACACGTGAAAAGACATATTCTCAGTATCAAAGAAAGTGTATCAAAATCTCAACTCTATCTTCTTGTTGAAATGTTTATTGTCTCTTAAAGTTTTCATTACAGTTCTGAAGTGAAACAGGACTCCCGGGGCTTTACTCCGCTAAGAGAAAAGTAGTGGCTGCAAGGCCCTCTGTCCCTTAAATCACCTTCTGTTCTTAACTGAAAAGTGTGAAGTGACTGTGTGTGGGTGTTCTCTTGTGCTCCTGTGTTTAAACAATAGGGAAATAACTTTGTTTGACCTTTCAGATGAGGAAATTATTGAAAATTCCTGTCCTTTGATGTTGTTCTTTTTTTTTCCCCCGACTACTTCCTACTGACCTTTATTGAACAATTCTGAATTAAATTTATATTTCCTTTGGTCTCTGTGATATTTACTATTGAAATATCATTTGCTTTGTGGATCATTTTAAGAAGATTTTATGCACATAGCATTACTATAAATGAGGCCAGACACTCCATGAAGTCTTTTTTTCTCATCATATTTATCCTCTGATCCAATGATTCAGTTACATACACACACACACATACACACACACACACACACACACACACACAGACACACACATTTTAAATCAGAAAACACATCTTTCATTGTAAAGATACATGCCTTGTTTTACTGCAAATAATCATCTTATTTATTTTAATACATGCCATAAAGAAAAAAAGAAACTAAAAATATGATTAAAATTAAGTCAATGATTAAAAGCTTATAAGTCAATATCTTCAAATAGTATTGCTATTCAGTTCAGTGCAATTTAAAAACAACAACAAGCAAATGTATTCCTCATTGTTACTAGAGCCCTAACTTTGAGATAAGTAAAATAGAACAAAAGTTTGCTGAGGGTTATATTATTCTGACCAATTTCTATACCAAAAAAGTTTAATGTCTAGTAGACTGTAGTCTTTATATGTAATCTTCAATCTATGAAAAGAAAATGAAAAAAATAGCCAAACTGAATCACTGTGTGCCTAAACATCAAGGTTTTGGAATCCAACCATCCCTGACTACAGTAAAAATGGAAATTTTGTTTTCAGTCTTTGCACTCATGAAATCGATGAAAAGAGATCTTTGGAGATGAGAGTTATGAATTAGATTTAAAGTAGGGAATTAATAGCAAACAAATGTGCTGTTTCTAAAATAAAACACCTGCACATTTCCGGTTCACTGTTGTGACACATGTCATGAGCATACATTGTTTAAGAAGACCACATAAAATATGTTCATCCTTACAAAGAATATCTGAGATGCGGACCTGCCTTGGGCATGTAGAAACCCATAAAGACTCAAGAAAAAGTTAGCAACAAATGATGTTTCACCAGAAAGAAAGCAGTACATGTGACTTTGTTCTTGATGATTTACCAAGTTTCTCCTCTTGAATTCTCTGGCACACTCTTAGCAAATTATGAAGGTCCTCTAAGGTTTGTATTTATGTGGATTACACATAGCAAAATATAACACATTACAAATTCAAGCTAAGAATTTTTCAGTTATGGAGTCCATTACCAATGGAAACATCTATAAAATATTTCCATACGTACTGCACAGGGAACATTGCCGAAGAGGTGAGAGAAAGATTGTAAAAGCCAGAGGGTCAGGGAGTGTGCTGTGAGTTGGTTCTCCTAGTCACTTCAGAAGCCAGAGTGATATAGTCTCATCAACATGATTGCCCAAAGTTGAGCTGAAAAAGCAGGACACCCATGGACATGTCAAATTGGATATCAAAAATTTCATGAGGACTCAACCATAAACAAAGTAATATAAGCGACTGAGGAAAGCTGGGATGAGGAGAGTTGGACTCCCTCAGGGAAGAGCATACCAGCTGTTTGTCCTGTACCAAATACTTAATTCTGTGAATATGCATGCAAGTAACATTTTATGGACTCAACAGATTATATTTAAGAATATATGTGTATATATATATATGAATGTATATATATATGTATATGACTGCAATAACAATTTATTGAAAAATAGGCCTTGAATTTGAAATAAAATGGAGAGGAATACATGGAAGAGTTTATATGGAAGAAAGGGAAAGGACAAATATTGTCATTATACTGTAACCACAAAAATAATTAATTAATTAATAATTAAATTAAATAAATAAATATTAAAATGATATGTTTTTTTCTTGTATCCCTACTTCGTCTCATGGCCCAGCTCAGTCAGAACCCTTCCAGATGCCTTTGGCTAGACTTTCCCTCATATTTGCAATAGAACCCTTCTCCTCAGTGATGCCTAGCAGTGGTTATGTGCTCATTCTTATTTGTTTGTTTATTTGCTTATATTTACCCGTTTGTACCTTTATTTATTTTTAAAACATGAAAAGAAAAATGTTTTTTTCAAAACAAGAGTATTAGTTGGAAAGTAAAAGAAAAAATAAGTAAATAAAGTGATAAATGTGATTCCAAATAACAGGTAAGGCTCATTCTGTATAATTTATGTGTCATTTTCAATTGTTTTGGATATTTGACATTAGTAGGTGACAGGAGCTTCCAAAGAAAATAGGAAGTGTGAATCTGGAAATCATGGTGAAAATTGGTGGAAACTAGGGAGAGAAGAAAATGGCATCAGATTTCTATGAAGTACAACATAATTTTACTATCTGAGCACAAAGGACCTGTTTGTAATACAATGTACTTTGACTTATTTTTTACTTATTTGGAGAATAGCAAAAATCCAATTACTTTTTTTTGAATAGATTCATATTTTAGAAGTATATTGGGAAACACTATGGTTAGAAGACAATGGAAACAACATGAACTTGTATGAAATTACAGGAAATGTTAATGATGATAGATAACAAAATGCAAGTCAAAATAGCTAATAATCAGGTTAATATTGTGATTTGTGTTTATACATTTTCATACAAAGGCCATATTTCTAAATAGTTTAATGTGAAATGCATATAATGACTGACATATCCAGTTAGTGATATTGTCTCTATTTTCTTTTACTTTATTTAAAGATGTATAAATTTTGTTTATAAATATATGAAAATCAACTTATATTTTTGAAGTAAATTTTTAATTTTTATTGTTTATATCTTTATTTCAAGTACAGGATTTAATCTGTACTTGCCCACAGCTATCTCATCACAAAAGAGAATAAATAGTTGCTGAACAGATTTTTCATCACAAAAACTAGAATTCTTAAATATCAGACTTACTGAAATATTCAATGTTTCTGCAATTCCATAAAATATTGTCTGGCTTCTTTGTTTTCATCTCCCAAATCGGAGCTGTGTTGTCAGGTACCAGTAGATTCTTATTTGCAAGGGTATTCAACTTGGTTAGTCAAATACTACCAAACAGAACTAACATTGAATATGTCATGTTTCATGATATTCTAGTTTCCTTTAGCTTTGGCATTTGTTTGTCCTAAAACAAGGATACACCTTTCATGTATATGTTGCACGTGTGACAGGCCACCTGTGTATGTCTCTTTGTTAGGATAAAAGTTCCTACTTCAAAGAGAAGAGCAAGAAGTAGCAAGAGTCTAAACCCAAGATGAACTGAGAGAACGTCTTAACATACACTTTTAGGATGACCTTAAAAATCCTACATACTGTGAGGTGGCCAAACTATAGTTCCCCCGTCTGTACCACCCAAATGCTAGAATTGTAGGCATGTTTTACCATATGTAGCTTAATTTATTATTATATGTAACACAATTGTAATTTAAATGAATCAAATTATTTTCTGAACCATTCTACATTTGTTATTATTCTTGGTGTTTGTAGTAGTCATTCAATAAATCAAAAATAAAAAGATGGCAATTTTTAAATTCTTATCAGTACCAATGGCTTGTATTCCAGATGCTATGTTTAGTACTTAAGATTTGTAATAAAAACAGAAGACAATGACAAGGATAATAATAATCATTATTATGTAGCTTAAAACACTGGAAAGATTGTTAATGACTTTGAAAGTAATTGTCAAAACTAAGAACTTATGAATCTACATTTAATTTTTATCTCTGGATTTTTTTCTGATGGACACAATGCCCATTCTTTCAATGTCTACTTCTACAATTGCCATAAGAATCAGGGAACAAAATGATTCTGAAATATCTTTGAGTTATGTGTCTATTCTGTTTGGCTGTGTAACAGTTGTGTTTATATTTTGCATCCCTTCAAACACTATATTTCAAAATATAGTGAATTGAATTTTAAACAACTGTTATGTGTGTGATCACTAGTACTTGTTATCAACTGAACAGGATGTAGAATTAGCAACAAATAAGCCTCTAGGCATACTTGGTAGAGATCATCTAGATTACAGTCTCTGTCTGTGCTAGTGAGAAATTATCTTGTTTAGGTTAACTAAGGGTGGAAAGATATTCCCTAAAGGTACACCCTAATAGTGGGTGATGCAATTTCATGGGCTAACATCCTAGACTACAGGGGAAGGAGAAAAGCAGAGAAGCCAGAGCTCCATCACTAATGTCTGCTCCGTGATTGTCAGACGGATAGGTAAGCCATGGTAATGCAATTCTGTGTGACTGGGTTTCTGGCTGTAATCAAGAAGTCTATTTTGTTGTTGTTGTTATTGTTCAAATCAGCCTCAATTATTTGGTTGAGAATTTTCTCAGAAAAAATATTCTTTTATTGTCAATTTATATCTTATTAGCCTATATTAACCATACAGAAGTGTTAATGACTATCATGACATTCTTCATATTTATCATGTGCTTTAATCATGCTCACTTTCTCCTTACTGCCCTTCTTTCCTCTTTCTTTCCCCACATTGCCCAAGTTAAATAGTCTCCCTTCTGCTTTAAAGTCTTTTTTTGATTGTTTTAAAATCTATTTTACACATATCAGAGAAAGAACATTATATCTATGTTTTGCAGTATGATATTTTTTCTTAAATATGACCCATCAATTTTCCAGAAAATAACATACTTTGTTTTTCAATGCCTATTTGTCTGTAGTAAACCTCTCTCACATTTCCTTTTTCCATTCAACTTTGGTAAGAACAAACATTTTTTGGAGATTAAAAACTTCAGGAAATTTGACAGTTTGTTTTTCATGTACCTCACTCAATTATAAGCAATCTCAGCCATCAGCATTTAGTCAGAGAGAAAATATTCAATGGGTCATAAATAAATTGCCTTTCAAGAAGAAAGAACAGGTTTGTGGTGTTTTCCAGAATCTGTCATGGAAGTAGTCTCACTGTGGCAAATCTTAAATCATTTCATGATGTCCCTGAACAGTGTTGGGAAGACACGGCAATGAATCTGTGTTGTAAAGTTGCCCAAGCAGGGCCTGCACACCACTCACAGACAAGCTACTGACGGCGGGCAAGGGCATGACCACATGCAAGGGCATGACCACATGCAAGGGCATGACCACATGCAAGGGCATGACCACATGCAAGGGCATGACTACATGCAAGGAGCCATGCATTTTCACTGGTGATGAAACGAATTTCTTCCTTGGCCAGTATCCTTGGCTAACTCACAATTTTGTGTTCAGTAGAAAGATGGGGAGGTTTTGCAAATACTTTATCCTCTGTGATCATCATTGGTCAACATTTTCCTGAGACTGGGTTCTCAATAATGATGGTTAACGTGTATCTGCAATAAAGCATAATGTGATCCTTTACCATGGCATATATAATGCTAAATCTAATGAAAATTTAGTTTTGAAGTTAGGTCACATTCTGGTAAAAAATAGTGTCATTTAACTCAAAGGTAGCTCTGGAAATTAAACATTAACAAAACATATGAATGCTATATATACGAGAAGACAGCTATAGATTTTAGTAATTTTCACAGGTTTTAATCTTTTTTGGGTGTTATGTAGAAAGCCCCAAGATGCAAGTCACGTATTTGGAACAGTTGACCAGTCACAAGCAATTCTGGTGGTGAAGGTGTCCTCCTTTCCTCTACCAGTCTTAGTTTTAAAAGAAGTAATTCTTTCTGTACATTGATAATATTGTAAATGGCATACAATAGACTGGAAAAACCAAGGTCATTGTCAATACTGTATCCTGTTTCACAAACAGCAATCTATTGTTAAGTTAAGCAAGTATTTGCTAATCAAGTTTTAATTGGATGTATTATGTATCTCTGCATCTCAACCACATAGGAATATTTTAAAATAAGAATCTCTTATGAAACATATTTTAAAATAAGTATCTGTACTCTTATATAACTTGGAGTATACAAAGTGTATCTTTATGACTTTTATTTCATAAATTTATTTCTAGCACAGATGCTTTATTTTTATAAATATTTGTATATTATTCATTTTATTTACTTGTCTCAAAAACAATTCACTGTGTATTTTACACTGAAGACTTATGCTGGTATTTTAGAGTACCATGTCTGGGTTTAAAAGAAGAATGCATTACCATGTTATGATATATATACTCTTTTATCAACCACCTGTCTTCAGCAAGTGTTCTGCTGGTGTTCCTGTTATTTAAATGGTCTTTCTGAAGTGTGAAACTTTCTCTATATGATGCTATCTATAGGCTATGACAATGGAAAATTTATAGAATATTTTAAAGTACAAAGTGAAGAACTAAAAATCATAAAAGAACTAATGCTTAAAATATTTTCCTTCATTGATTCATTTTCTGTATTATAAAATATTTTCTCATGTTAGCAATTTTAATAATGCATATTTTCTGTTGCATAAGTAATAAAACAAATGTATAACATTCTTTATTTCAATAACATTTGATTAATAGCTACCACTACACTTTATAAAATGACATTTAAAAAAACAACACATTCTTACAAAATTTTGGAAATCAATGTGCCTTTTGCTGTTCTTGCAGAGAACCTATGTTCAGTTCAGGGCACCCATATCCAGAAACTCATAACCCCTTTGAAAGCAGTTCCAGGAGATATAATGTCCTGTTTGAGTGTCTGTGGATACAGGGCATACACATGGTGCACATACATACATGCAGGTACTCACAACACATAAAATAAAAGTAAATAAATATTTTGATAAATTACACAATTCTTAGTGACTTAACATAAAATGTCATGGAAGTTCAAGCTAATTACGTGTCACAATATCTTAGCTAATTGTATTAAAATGTTGACTTTGGTGAAATGTTCATAAAGACTACTACATTAAGCGATCTTAGTTAATACACTGATTAAAATGAAGTCATGTAGATAGAAGTTACATAATACTCGTGAGAGGCAATAAACAATGGGGATCTCTTTAGAAGTTGGAAATGTCAATAAACTCTTACAGAACCATACTAATTATTAGAAACAAACAAATAAATAAATGCTCTTTAGCTATATGTACTACTATTGATTCAACTTGAAATACAATTTGAATGATAATCACTTCTGTGCTAGTAGTATGTACACTGGCATTCGCTAAACATTTATCCAGCACAGAATATTCATACATTGTTTTGAACATGCATGTATTCAATTTATTCTAAAACTAGTTTCTTTCCTTTTTAGTAATCTAGAGATTAGTCAAGAGTGTATGGAGGAATCTACTTTACTAGCTGCTAAGTGTATCTTTCTGGTGACCAAAAAATAAAGAACTTACATGTAAATACATTACTCTTTTTATTAATTTGTATTTTTATTTTGGAATAAAATTCAGTTCTACATATCAGTCACGGATTCCCTTGTTCTCCTCCCTATGGCCCCCCTCTCCTTCCCCCCAGCCCACCCCCCATTCCCACCTCCTCCAGGGCAAAGCCTCCCCTGCAGACTGAGATCAACCTGGTAGACTCAGTCCAGGTAGGTCCAGTCCCCTCCTGCCAGGCCAAGCCAAGAGATCCTGCATGGGCCCCAGGTTTCAAACAGCCAACTCATGCAATGAGCACTAGAAAAAAATCATCCAGAGTGAGGTAACCCAGACTCAGAAAGACAAACATGGTATGTACTCACTCATAGGAGGATACTAGATGTGGAACAAGGATGACTGGACTGCTACTCACATCACCAGGGAGGCTACCTGGAAAACAGGACCCCAAGAAAGACACGGGGATAGCCCAATGACAGAGAAATGGAATGAGATCTACATGAGCAGCCTGGTCATGACTGGGGGTAATGAAGGGCAGGGTCGAGGGAAAGAGAGCTTGGGGGAGCGGGAGATCCCAGCTGGATCAACAACAGAGAGGGAGAACAAGGAATAGGAGATCATGGTAAATGAAGACCACATAAGAATAGGAAGAAGCAATGTGCTAGTGAGGCCCACAGAAATCCACAAAGATACCCCCACAACAGACTGCTGGCAATGGTCGAGATACAGCCCGAACTGACCTACTCTGGTGATGGGATGGCCAAAATACATTACTCTTAACAGGCTGGTAAGTGCTAGGTTCTAACAATAGACAAGAACATCGATGAGGAGACAGGGTATGTTGAGTGGGAAGAATATCTTGTCCCTCATCCAAAAGAATATAGGCAGCACCACTTTACTTAACATGTTCTTTTTCTTTCTTTCCTTTTTATTTATTTATTTTCTTAATGGAACTAATAGTTGGTGTGGGCAGCACTGTGGGTGACTCTGAGAGAACCTGGAGAAGGTATGAAAGTGATCAAAATAATTTTTACAAAATTCTCAAAAAATTAATTAAAAAATGAAGAGAAAGAAAAGAGGAGTCATCCCTGGGTCTGCATGTTGGGGTCAAACATATGTTGAGCTATAGTGAACAACAAAACCATACAGATACCTCCAGGGTCAGGGCAGGAGCACAATGGTAACCAAAGAGAAACATTCTCTCTTCATAGAGGAAAAACAAAGAAAAGGCAAAAAAAATGAGGATGTGAGAGGTGAATATTAATAAAGACAAATCTTGGATTCGAATCCTCACAATTGGGCTCTCAGAGTATTCTTATGGAAGCAATGTTTTAGAAAAATAATGAAGTAAATGTTGGTATCAAAGAAGGAAGAAAACTCAAAACAAAAGTATGATTTATTTTCTATGGTTTGGCAATGCTGGGTTGAATCAAGATCTTACTAACTGATCTGCAATCACTTTACCACTGAAAATTCCCGGGCAAGACATTGATTTCAGACAAATTCCTAGACTCAGTCTATTAATTCAAGGGCTCTGAGAAACAGCAAATACCTATTATCTCTGATCTCACCTGCTCACATCCAGACTGGGTTTTCACAGTCCACCACAGGTGATTTTTCAAATCAAGGAATAGAATCTAAGTTATCTATACAATAACAGTTTATGAAAAGGGGGGCCTTGAATTTGAAATAGAACATGGAGTAGTATATGGGAGGGTTTGGTGTCATACATGTATCTGAGAGAAATAGAAAAGTGAGTGAGAGAGAGAGAGAGAGAGAGAGAGAGAGAGAGAGAGAGAGAGAGAGAGAGAGAGAGAAATATACATTCCTTATATTTATATTTATATTATAAATATATGCAGTCCAAGGAGCTTCATTTGCTCAGGGGAATCTTCAAATACATGTGTGACTAGGCCCTGATAGAATGACAGGTAGGCAGGAGGAATAAAATCAATGACAGATGGTCTAGTTCATGTGAGAAAACTACCCAGACTCTTCCTTCAATGCCAATGATCTAGTTCCAACAGTCTTGCAAAGATGTTGGCCTTTACTCAAAGAAGGAAAGGAAAGTTCTGGGAGGATTTGAGCTAGAGGGATGTTATCTTACTATTTCTTTTTTAATTAGTCATTTCTTGAGTTCATAACATAATTAAATAATTTCCCTTTTTCCCTTTTCTCCCTCCAAACTTTTTCATATTACCCTCTTTGATGAAAGTAACTTACAATAGTAACAGCAAGTACACAGGAGGTAGTTGGAAATTTTTATATTATGTTTAAATTTAAAATATATTTTATGTCTTGAACTAAAGCAGTAACAGAGGATACAATAAAAACATTGGATTAATGTTAATTTTAAATATAAAGAAGATAAATTAGCATATAGATATGCAAGATATTAGGGAAAATAAAAATTGATAGAAATTTTTGAATGAATTTGAATTGACTAAATAAAGGGATGGATTTTCCAATGACTAATACAGTGACCAAGAGTAATTTCATTTATTGTCAAGCACATAAAAAGTTCAGTGTTTATTGATTCATTCTACAAATATGTAGTAGACATTCAACATGAAACATCAAATAGGCATTCAGGATAGTTTTCAACTTTATGGAGGCAATTTTAAGTTGTAACTCTCAGGCTGGGGGTAACTCAGGTATAGAATAACCGTGTGAGGAACTGGGTTTGCAACATGTATCACACACATACTTTAAATAAATATAAAAATTAAGGACGATTCTGTAGTTTTATAAATTAAGACTGATAAATAAGTTATAAATACATGTCAAAATTTGCACAATGAATACAAAGATAGATCATGCAATTTTGTGAAATTATGGATTAAATGATGAAATCATCCATTGTAAATCATGGAAAGTCAGAAAGATCATGGTATTAATGTAATACACACAGTTACCTGGGAAATGTAAGATTTTCAAACACGGCTACAGAGCATTGTGATTAGTTCAATATAGCAGATGCTAGTGATGTTCAAATGACGTGTAGATCATAGACGTGATGGAGTTTCTGAAGTGAAGTGGAGTACCAGTTTTACTGGACAGCAGGTTAAGCCAGGATCTAGGTAAATTCTGAAAGAATTAAAGAAAGAAAAAAAGAACTGCAAACATTTTATGAATTGATGAGACCCCAAGTTGCGATCACTGTTAGTCACATATAATTTACAAAGGTAGATGTATGGAGCAAATGTCTGAAAATAATGCTAAGAGGGCTAAATGCACAGGAAATGACTCAATGGCATCACACTTCCCTTCTGCTTAGAGTCAATGCATCATAACCATGGTGTCAGTGGTGCTGCACATATTTAAGAAGTACGCAAGTACATTGTTTTGCTGCTTGAGTTGATATGCATTCATGTTATTCTTACATATTTTGACACAGGGCATTACCAAAAATTAATAAAATTTAAATCCATATATGAAGTAGAATTCAATGTATGTTTAAAAACAGTTATTGAATTGTGTTTGCATAAATGCCAGACAACAAAACTTTTGAACAAAAATAATGCATTTTAGGGTGTATTGCAAAGGTATGTATGACCAGAGTTAATGGGGTCAGAAGTGGTATAAAACAAAGTACCAAAAAAATGCTCAAAGAGGTACCGTCAAAGGGGCAGAATTTTCTCAGCATATCACCATTTGAGGATCTAAATATCAGCAATACTGCCTTCATTAACATGAAAGTTTCCTTTACTTAAAAAGAAGTTTAGTTTTAAAAGTACAGAGGAAAATGTGGGATATTTTTAAATCACAAGAATACGGAAAATGAATATACTGGTCTAATTGACTAACATCAAATACTGTCTAAGAGCTGTTAATTCATCCAACGGATGATATGAAGGTGATTCTAAAATGGTTTGGGAAGGGAAGCAAGACACAAAATTGCCACATTTAATGAGAATCCTATGGTTGGACACTTTGTGCAGCCTTGGTGCAGGGAGGAGGGGCTTGGACCTGCCTCAACTGAATGTACCAGGCTCTGCTGACTTTCCATGGGAGACCTTGCCTTGAAGGAGGTGAGAATGGGCTGTGGGTTGGCCAGGGCGGGGGGGGGGGGGGGGGGAGGTTGGGGGTCAGGAGGAGGGAGGAAAGGGCAATCTGTGGTTGGTATGTAAAATGAATAGAAAATCTCTTAATAAAAATAAAAAAGAGAATGATGTTTAAAAACAATATCAATTATAGAGGAAATAAGAAATGAAATTTCAAACATTGCTGGTTTTCTATACAAACACACTCTTTTATATTTCAAGTCATCATTAGAAAATAAAATCAAACTTGTATTCTAGAGAGCCCAATAATGATTCCAAGCAACTGGAAATGGAGTCTTTGGTGTGACAGTTTCTGGTTTATTTAAACAGCATGACAGGGAAGTGATCCCCATTTGGGCTGTGATAAATGATCTTGGCTGTGAAGAGAAATGTCATAATACTGTACTATATAATGTAATATAAAAATGAGTCGTTTCACTTTTGAGGCTCTATGGGAACCACTATAACTTATGATTAATGTTGGTGGGAAATTCACATCAAATCAGTAGAGTAAAGAAGTGTAATGACCCAACGTACTTCGGGAGTAATGATTTTATACTTCAGTCTCACGAGGAATTGCAACAATGTGAGGTGATCTGTAATAAATACAGAAAGGCATGAGAAGTAGGAAAATGTCAATTGTGGCTTCATGACTAATTGCTTAAATGAGAACTTTATTATTGACAAGTGTCTCATCTTTGTTCAACAAGTGCTTCACTTCCAAAGAACTTATTTTTCTTGTCCCCATTTTTATTATCTTATCAATTAATGTCAAATGTGCAAAGTGTAGTGAATTTTGGAGCTAAACTTAAGTTACAGAGTACAAAAAGGAAACAGGACTCAAAATGAGTGAAAAATCACCAACCAACAACAGAGAAAGGGTTTGGAGATTAATTGGAAGGGGTTGTAAATGGTTGTGTTTGTACCAGGGACAAATGGATAATGCTAAGAAAACATTTGAGTTGGAGTTCATATATAGTTAATAAGAGTTTCTACAGATTCCAGGTGGTAAGATGTGACCGTTGATAGCATTCTGCTTTATTAATTTTTGTAAAGTGGAGTAAATTTTTCCAGAATTTCAATCAGCTTAATTTTCTTGACTAAGAAGATCTATTAAAGATACAACAAGTGTGTGTGTGTGTATGTGTGTGTGTGCATGTGTGCATGCACATGTGTGATTTTAAAAGGCAATATAAAAATAACTTGACAAGCTAAAATTGTCACTGAAGGATCACACCCATCATAGCACATGCAGTCTGTGGATCCCCTGACTTACCGCTGGACTTCATCATCTTTTCCTACCTGCCATGTCTCTCTTCCAGCTTCTTAGCCTCCTGGGTTAGGTGCATAGATCCAGAACTTCCCAGTCATCTGAGGTTTGCCATCATTGTTGGAATTGCAGCTGTAGACAATGGGAGACTAACATGCCTCCTAGTTTACATTCACAGCTTTAGAAAACCAGGCTCAATGTGTAAATATTTGTTGAATTCAGAGCTCTATTACAGAAGATTCATTAAAAATTGTATGTAAACCACAAGGACTTGTTTAGGGACTTGGGATTCAATGGCTCATCTGCAATTGTGAATTTCATAATTAGAGATAGTCTGAACTGAAGAGAAACACATAAAGATCACAGAAAAGAGGAAAAACAGAAAAATGGAACTAGTGACAGAGAATTAGAAAATTTATAAAAAAGTACTCTCAAGTACTTTATCAGCATCTGCTCATGACTATTGTTGTCTATTTATCATATGTATGTCAATGTTTCCAAAAGCACACTGTTAAAATCTCATAAGAATAGTTTTATCTTCCTATTTTTTTATGCTCAGAATATAGTTCAATGTTCCAGACAATGGAAGTTTGTAATAGATACTATTTTGAGTAATTATTGGAAAACCCAAAATGTAGCTTTTCCTGAGTTTTAAAACCTGCTTTTCCTTTTTGTTTCTGTGTTATATGGAATTTACTTTTGAAAACACGTCATTTTATACTTTGTTTAATTTTAATTACGCAAGATTTTTTTCTGTTATATCGGGAACACTTTCATATTTTAACTATTTTTCTGAAAATTTCCTTCATATTCAAAACCACTGTTCTAATTGTGATTGTCATTAATGAACATAACAGTTGTTCACTTTTTCCGCTTTAAACATTCTTATCAATCATCATAAAATATTTTGACAATACAATATGAATATGCATAGATTCTAACTAATCATATACAATAAACATTGAAAGTATTTCTTATAGATACAAATAAAATTTATATGAATTACTTATTTTCCAATTGAAATTATTTAAGAATGCTTGTAATATTTTTTCAATTAACATCTATCACTCAAAGATATCAAGGTAATTAAGCAGTAAAATTATATTTAATTATTTCATTACATTGCATCTTTATTATGCCAATTTGATTACATATATTTCTCTATAGTATTTTGGGGCATTAGTATGGGTGCAGCAAACTGTAAGAATTGTCTCATATTGCCACTTATTTAGATGATGAGTAAAAAATTCAGTTATTCAAAATAAATAACCTGTGTACAATTAGAAAATGTAAGAGAGAAATTTGCTTCTAATTTATCAGTTAGATTGCAGCTGAGATTCTGTCAGCCCTTGGATTCTCATCATAAAAATAGTTATGAACAATAATCAGAATCTGCTAGGAGAAAAATTTCCATAATAACAATAGAATAAGTGTGCTTGTCATCTACAATATTGCAAGACTGGTGCACAGAGAGTACAAAGAGATTCATTAATGTCAGTGTATACAGTTTTATTTTCTACTATATTGCATCTTCTCAATTGCTTACTCATGGGAGTCATGGGTTACATTTGTTTAGACTTGTGATTTTCCCTTCAATTCCAGTGTCTCTGTCTACTAGCAAGCACTTTGTGTATGACACCGTGAAATAATGCATAAATTCTCTCTTAAATGAAATTCCAATTACAATTAGAAATATAGAAGTCAAATAAGCAGCAGCATAAGAAGCAATTTCCTTCAGAAACCTGAACCCGTTTCACTTTTCAATAAACACTTTTAAATATGTCCATGGCATGAGCATTCGTGTGCTAACAACTATCCAAAAACCAGCACAAAATCTGTTTCATCCATCTACTTGCTCAGAGGTTAAAAATCATCTCTCTTTTCTACTTTTTTCTGGAAAAAAGTTGTGTCCTTTCTCTGAGTTATGCTGTCCATTCAGTTTTAAGAACTGAGCCAAATTAACTCCTTAACTGTTTGGCCCAACAGTACTTCCTCTTTCCTCTAAAGTCCATGTGTGAATAGCAAAGTTGGTGCTTCTGTTCTCTAACTTTGTAATACATGTTTCTTTCATTGTATAATTCGGCTTCTCAAGTAGCTGATATGGTCTCATTATTTACTTTATTGTTTCATTTAGTAAAAATAAACCCTATTCTTCAGGAATTGTTGATAAATTTAGTCATCATCTTAACTGTGTTCCCAATCTGCTCCTTCTGTAAGAAGCAAGAAGATAGCCTTGAGAAAAAAATATTCAAATAATTTTAATAATTAATTGGGAATATGATTCATTTTCATCTCTGTGCTTAAGTTCATTCATTGGAAGTTGAAAGCATAATTGCATATATTTCACTATATCTACTGAAAATAGAGAGAGAGAAATATAAAAATCATAAATAATGGAATAACTTCACCTAGTTTATTTGATCTCCAAAATGGCTGTATTCACTTGTTAGCACTATCTCATATTGGCTATTTTAATATTTTCATCCATAAAAGTATACAAGAAGTGTAACCGCCCATAATTTACTTCGTGGAGAATGATTAAATAGAGATTAATTAAAAAGTAACCCAGAAAATATCCTCCCTCTTCCTTTCTCTCTCTGTCTTCCTTTCACTCTTCCTCTCCCTCTCCCTTTTCTCCATATGTATCAGAACATTATTTTTATTTTTATTATAATGAATGCTAGTATCACCTACAGCTGTTGACACATGTACACTTATTGCTCATTACTTATACTACGTTATTATATTCACAACAACCAAAGAGCCTGCATGGAACTGACCTAGGTACTCTGCATATATGCAACAGTTGTGTAGCTTGATCCTCTTGTGGGACTCTTAACAGTGGGAACAGGAGCTGTCTCCAACTCTTTTACTGGCTTATAGGACCCTACTCCTAATCATGCTGGGTCACCTTGCCCATCCTTAATACAAGGGGAGGTGCTTAGTCTTACTGCAACTTGACATGCCATATTTTATTGATACTCATGGAAGACCTGATCTTTCCTGGATGGAGATGGGAGAGGAGGGGATTTGAGTGTGGGAGTGAGGGGGCATAAGGGGACAGACTGGGAGGGAAGGATGAGGGGGAGGCTGTGCCTGAGATGTAAAATAAAGAGATGAATAAAAAAGAAAAAGAAAAAAATCTAGACATTTTAAGCATTCTTTGAGTATCTTCTACATCGAAGAGGTTGCTTTAACGTTTGATATAAGTTAATAATTATTATCAAAATCAAGAGAAGTAAGTATTTTTTTCTCCAATATCTTCATCTTTTTAGATTAACTGTTACTCTGCCTGAACAAATTGAAGACTGAGTCTCAATATGGGGAAAATAATATGTCAATAAAATGTGTTTGTCATTTGAAAAAATGAAAACAATTTTATAACCTATCCAAGGGATCATAAGGTTGATGGGGGTGGTGGCCACATTGGCCACATTGGGTCCATTCAGAATGGTAAGAGCTTGTGGGACATGGGTTTGAGTCAACTTTACTGTGGGCAGTTCTAAAATATGATCTTCCAGAGCGACAGGAAGTATGGAAGTAGTATGCCCAGCCTTCCCATCTTTTCAGTAGTGTGGTAACACCTGACATGAACATGTAAGGAACAAAGAGAGAAATTACATAGGGCTAGGACAAAATAATTCAGTAAATGCGATTTGATTTTCCTAGAAGTTGTAAAGTGTAGGGCGTAACAAAACACAGGTTTGTCTTGTGATCCCTTCTTCTTTGTG